GGGGGGGGCAAGTACGTTGGAGTCACACCCAACGTTCAGAATAGGCAACTTTAGCAGTTCCCGAAATGGAGCAAAAAAGGCRACCCTACGTCTGCCAAGCGCCACTGCGGGTAATGACTGGTGCAGTTTGAGACCCCCGCCAAACTTGCACATTTCTAAACTGACACCATGACACCAGCGCCACTTAAGTTTGACTTTTCTTGCCTATTTCAAACTACAAGTGTGTCACAGCCACAGTTTCCCCCTTTTTTTTACATAGTCCGAACTGCAGTTGCAGACTGTATCTTGGCCTGTACTGCAATTATAACTCATTTTTGTGACTCCCGCGTAGTTTCCCCTTTTCTTTTTCTTTTTTTGCGTGGCACCATTTCTTTTTTTTTTTTTTTTTTCCCACAGTTCTTACTTTTAATTTTTAAAACAGAGAAAGATTTGCAAATTGTCCAACTCACGACATAACCACAGCGCCACTTTGTCTTTTATTTTCTTCTTTTTTTTTTCTTTTAGCCCAGGTTGTTGTAGAGGTTGAATACCAGACGTATGACTGTCAGCTTCGGTAATCGGCCATGTGGTTATCCAGTCGATGTACAGAGGTCGTTATTCCTAACGGGACTCCCTCCCAATCTACCACTATTTCATCATTAATTCCAGTGTAGTGCCCTGTACGTCGTACGGGGGGTCTGCGTACGGGCCGTCACACGGACGGTATCTGTCTGAACGTACCTGGGCTTGGTGGGGGGGTGCCAGGGGGGTTTGACCCCCAGGGATGGTAGGGGGGATCGCGAGGGGCCCCGTTGAATTTTTTTTTAATTTTTAAGAAAAGGTTATGCTGTCGAAGAAAGAGAAAAAAAAAAAAAAGCAAAATCGAATGAATCTACCGCTAGAACATGGAAATATACACTGCCACACTTGTTTTCCTTTTTCCTTTTCTTTTTTTTGTGTGTGTGTGTGTTTGTTGTGTCTCTGTGTGTGTGTGTGTGTGTGTGTGTGTGTGTGTGTGTGTGTGTGTGTGTACCTCATTGGGAATCTGATCCCGGTTCAGTCCCTCGAATGGTCTGCGCGGCCTAAAGGACTTGTGCAACTCATTGGGAGTGCGACAGGTGGATAGATGCACGCTGTTGTTGTATCCGCTAGCTATTTTGGGCAACATCTCGTCCCAATTGATCTGATCAGGTCTAATGTACATGCCCAGAACTTGCTGTAGGATCTTGTTCATCTGTTCGGTATGACCGTTTGTCTCTGGATGGCAGCCAGACGACATTAACAACTTAGATCCGTAGACTCTCACGAGTTCTTGCCAGTTCTAGTTGGTGAAACGACTATCTCTATCGCTAACTATCGACAATGGGATTCCATTCTCACTAACCCAAAAGTCAAAAAACTTCTGTATAACTAAGTCTGTACGTGCTTCTGCAGGCAAAGGAACAAAAACTGCATACTTACTAAACCGGTCAACTATGACCATGACTTGGCTCTTACCATGTCTACTCTTGACTTGGGCGTCCATGAAGTCTATGGACACTTAGTCTCCTGGCTGATCAGGAATAGGCAAGGGTCTGAGAAGACCTAGAGGGGCACGCGTGGTAGTCTTATTCCTCTGGCACACTTTGCAACTGCGAACATACTCTATGCAGTCATTCTTCATCCTTGGCCAAGCGTACGCGCGCATCAGATTGGCTAGTGTCTTTTGCGAACCGAAATGTCCCTCAGTAACTCGGCATTCCCCTAGGATCAAACTGCGGATTTCTTCGTTGTTGGGAACGCACAGGCGGTCAAATACATTAGTCTTCTCAAAGAGTAATCCCCCTGTAGTGCAGTAATTGGCTCAATCTCTGGGGCCTCTCTACCTTTCTTTAGGAGGTCGCTATAGATAGGGTCCTGCGCATATGCTTGCTTTACTTTTTCCTGCAGGTCTCTCCCTATATCCAGATAGTGTACTATGGCTCCAAAGTAGTCTGATCTCCTACTTTGAGCATCAGCAACTACGTCATACTTGCCCTTTACTGGCTTGAGCTCAAAGTCATATTGGTCTATGTATGCGGCCCACCTAGTCAGCTTAGGTGTCATCTTAGCCTGAGTCTTTAACCATCTAAGCGTTTCATGGTCAGAATACACTTTGAAGTGTCTCCCAAGCAGATAATGCTTTCAGTGCTCTAAAGCCTGCCTGAGCGCGTACATGAACTCTACGGGTCTATAGCCATTGTCGTCGTCTTGCTGCAACACGGCGCCTATCCCATACTGACTCGCGTCCATGGTGACGACAAATGGCAAGGACGGATCTGCTACTTTGAGGACAGGGTACTCTTTTAATGCGCGCTTCAATCTCTTTAGCGCAGACGTGCAATCTTTGTCCCATTGCCAGATTGCCTCTTTCTTAGCAACCTGCGCAGGGGAGCGGCGATAGTAGAAAAGTTTCTCACGAACTTTCTATAGTAATTAGCTAGACCTAGGAACGACCGCAACTCTGTCAATGTGCGGGGCGTCGGCCAGTCTCTAATTGTCGCTATCTTGCTGTCCTTTGGCTTAATGCCATTTCCGTCTAATACGTGGGGTCTTGACCCACTCGCACTTCTTCGCATTGATCTTGAAGTTAGACTCTCTCAACTTCTCCAATACCTGCCTCAGATGACCCTAGTGCTTCTGGACGGTCTTGCTAAAATCAAAGATATCATCTTAATAAACTACTACAAACTTGTTTAACCATGGCCTAAACAGGTCATTGATACAACGTTGAAAGGCGGTTGGCGCGTTGGTTAGTCCAAAGAGCATCACTATAAACTCGTAGTGCTCATATCTAGTCCGGAACGCAGTCTTGTACTGGTCATCAGGATGACCCTCAATCTGATGGTATCCGGACTTCAAGTCTATCTTAGAGAAATATCTGCAACCCTGCACCCGATCTAAGAGATCGTCTATCATGGGCAGTGGTTCAACATTCTTTACAGTTATCGCATTCAAACACCTTTAATCTGTACACATACAAAGCTCTCCTTCCTTCTTTGGGACAAACAGGACTGGTGATCCAAAAGGAGACGAATTGGGCCTGATCCAACCTTTCTCAAGGATCTCGTCCAATAACTTATGCAGCTCCTCTAATTCTCTAGGGGAGATCCTGTAAACTGCTTCCTTAGGAGTTCTACTACCAGGTTCTATCTCTATCCTGTGTCGGATGGGTTGCGGTATTATTCCTGTTGGCGACTTAGTTAAGTCTCTAAATTCCTCCAGCAGCTTGGCTACGGTTGGATTTGTGGAACTATCTTTTTCCTTGGCCTGAGTGACAGGTCTAACATAAACTACAAAAAGACCTGGTCTTCTAACTGCACCTTCATTACTAACCGCACGAATGCGGGAACATTGAGACAGCAATGTGCTAAGGTGTTATCTACACCTGATACATGAAACAAGCGTGTTGCCTCTCCCGAATCCATTCCTAACACTATGTCGAAAGGATGGTCATCCTGTACGATGAGAGTCAGGGAATGGAGAACTTTCTCTACCTTCCCATCCTTTTCTAGGCAAAAGTACGCCTGGACTCCCTCTACGTAGTCCTCAACGCACATAGTACGGTTGTCTGCGAGGACACTGACTATGGGGTCTGCTAACTTCTGGACTTTCAATCCTAGCCTTAGCTTCTTCAGCGCTCTACGGCTAATATAACAGCGGGTGTCCCCTGAATCTATAAGGGCCCCTACTCTACTTCTAAACACTTTTACATCTACCAAGATCAGTTGTCCTTTACTCTCTTTCTTCATTTTGGCCCAGACTGGCATCCTCTCATTCAGTTCTTCTGCCACACCTGTGAGGGACGTGCCTAGAGAGACGCTAACACAAGCAGTCTCTGGAAAGCTAACTAGGCACGAGCCTGCAACCTCTGCCATAGGCTCGTGAGGGTTGGGAGTGTCCTGTTCACGCGCGCTCACTTCTCCACATGGCCTTGAAGTAGGGGCATTTGCGACCCCTACTGGCGGCTGCCTTTTGACTGCTGAGCAGCCCATTGGGCCTGTCTATACTGTGGACAAAATTGAATTACGTGAGTCAGGTCACCACAAAACACGCACTGGCCCAAGTTCACGCGTTCTTGCCATACGAGCTGGTCCAAGCCCAAGTCTTCCCAGGGCCTGCCCTGTGGCAAGCCTGGGTGCCATCCTCCTTGAGGTGACCTTCCCCCCCGTCGTTGTGGGGACCGATTAGGACCCTGGCGATTTGGCGGGGGACCTTGACCCCTACCTCCCACTTGGCTGTTCCCTTGTCCGCCAACCCCTTGTGCGCCCGGTCCTCGGCCTCCCATGGCCTGGCCCCTTTGGCCCTGACCTCCTCCTCTACTTTGCGGCCTCCCTCCAGCCGTGACAGCAGCATAGCACCTCCCCTGCCCCACGCTACTATCCTCGCCCTCCAGGCCTCACTCAATCTGGCTATACGGGATCTCATCTATACCACCTTCCTCTAAAGTAAGGATCATATGATCCTTGGCCCTAACTTGGCCTGAGATGGTACGGCCATTCCACTTTTTCCCCTTGTTCAGGTCTTTATGCCAGAAAGTGGTAACTAGCATGGACTTTGACTCATACAGTACCACTTCGCTACTCAACGCATCATAAGTGATGCCGGCCTGTTGAGACTTATCAAAGAAGTGCCCACGCAGGGCCTCTGGCACGGCACGATAAAACAACTGAACCAGTTGGGGTTCATTGACCCCATGGTCTGGGATGGCCACAAGGCCGTTCATGACGCCCTTGAGTGCTCGTGCACTCCTCCACTGTCGTGAGTGGATCGTCTCTAGCTTATCTGAGGCTCTAACGCCTCGCGTTGGGTCAACAAACCACTCCCTCAGAAGCTTGAAGAATTGAGGAAGGGGGGTAACTTTCGAGTAGGCAACCGGGTTGTTCTCACACCCGACTGCGTGCGCAAGAGACCTAGCGAAACTAGCCGCCTCATCTTTGAGGGCCAGAAGGGCTACGAGGATTTGCTCCTCTGTCAGGATATGCTGTAAATAAACGTAGTTGTTGACACAGGTTTCCCAGTTGTTAAAGTGATCCTCCTCTTTGCCCCCGTTAAGCTTCATGGACCCTTTACGGGGTCTAGCCTCGCCCTCTACAGTGGCTATCGCTTTGGCACCTTCAATGGCGCCCTCACAAAACTTCCCCACATTGTCTCTCAGTTGCTTGACTTCGTCCCCAATGTGGGTGACTGTCTCGCGCACAAAATCTCTAAATCCTGACCGCATAGCGCTCAAGGCTACCTCTTGGCTCCAAYTAGCTTGACGCTCTTCCATCCATGTTGTGCTCAGTACCTCCAGGTACCCCAATACCTTATCCCATTTCGCCTTATCATCTGCCTGAGCCTCCACTTCTTTCCTACAGGCCTGCACCTTCGCCACCTCTGCGGTCAGCTTGTTGACTTCCTTTCTCCTCCTCTTCTTCTCCCTCTTCATCCTCAGTTTTCATGCCAACTTCTGCTCCTCCTCCCTTTCTCGYCGTTCCATAGGGTCCGCCATTGCTGCTAGCTCACTGRCTAGCGCATCCCTCTCATCCTGAGTCACATAAGACWCCGCCTCCTCGTCTTCTCCCAACGATAAATTAGCAACCCACTCACTTATCCTCTTCTCCATCTCTGCGTCTGTATCCCTCTTTGTGCCACTACTCCCTTCTCCTCCTTCAATACGTTTTCTTTCTTTTTCTTCTTCTGCTGCTGCTTCTTCTTCGACAACCTTTCTCCTCGCTTCCTCCTCCTGTTGAACTTTTTTCATCTCCTCCTCCAATCTCTTCATCTTTGCAGCCTGCTCCTCTACGATAGCCTTCAGCTTCGCCTGTTTCTCGAGCTCCTTTCTCTCCCTATTCGCTCTGACTAAGGCGGCCATCTTTTCTTGTTGCTCAGGGGTGTAGGGACTAGTACTCTTCCCACTACGCAGGTCCACCATGGTGATAGGTGCACAATCAGAATGATTCCATTCCTCACCGCGTAGACTCTAACCCCTAACTGACAAACCTATTGACTCAATCTAAGACTCACAGAATCCGGACAGGGATCCTGCCAACTAGGGTCTCTAGCCTGGACCTAACAATGGCTGTCACTACTAGACCTTTGCTDATCAGGAGGCATTTAAGGAGATCCCCCAAACTCCTCAGGAATTATTTAACGTCGCAGACAGGACGACGCGATCAGCAGGTCTCTCAAGACTTAGACGGTCTGTTGTGCAACCCACAGCTCGAATTTCGGGCCTACCGTGCCACACTGAGCAGCCCGCCGGTTAGTACTGGTCCTTGGGAGGGTTAGGCGTCCGGGACAGTTGAGTCGTCAAACACAACTTTTAGCCCTACTCATCCCGTGTGGGTTTGGTCAACAAGACCCTATGCTTCATCCACAGAGTACTATCACCTAGGACAGAAGAGACTTGATGTAGAAAGAATAGACAGACAGACTGGACTCAGCAAGTACCAAGGGGTGTGTGCACATCTATACGGTGAGGGACAGGCTGAAGGCTTGGCGAGATGTTACCGGCTCCAGCTTGGTCAAAGTCTTGGTCAACGCCTTGGTCAACGCCGGTCAACGCTGTGATCAACTCCCGATCAGCCCCCCGTCAACTCCGATTAACGCCGGTCAACGTCAGTCAACACCGCCGGTCAACCCTCTCGGTTAACCCTCCGGTCAGCTATGGCGGCCAGCTCCTCTTCCTCGCCAACCTCCTTCTCCCTTTCACCTTCCTCGCCTC